AATTTACTGTATTAGGTAATTTGGACTAATAGTTACTGCGGCATTTGGACAATTGGACAGGACAAATCCAAATAAAAATTAATTGGATACCTAAAAATGCCAACCCTGACAAAACCCATATTATAAATTTATAATTTATTTTAAAAACTTCAGATTTACTTTGATCATGCAAACACAAGTATAAATTAAACTTGTTTAGTAATGAAAAAATTCCAGAAAAGTCATGCCATGGAAAGGTGATGAAAGTAAAACACAGGCAAGAGATGTTGAAAAGCTACTGATATCACAATCATACTACATGATAATGCAATTGTGGCATTGAGCAAATTTTAATAGTATAATTTGTGACATTATGTTAACTTTGTTGGTTTTCCCCCAAATTATTTAATTAATATTATACTTGTATATGGCAGAAAATATTTATGTGTATATATGAATGATTGATTGAAATGATTAAATAATTAATACAGATAGATAGTTATATACACATTTATATATTTAACGAATCAATCCATCCAATTTGAGTGAGGACTCCAAGTTTCCTTTTTGCCTGACTAATGGTGAATTAAAAACCTTCCAGAATCTCAAGGTATTATCATCACCACCTGCCCCTGTCACAATATCTTCTCCATTTGGTGAGTGACTCATATATAGAACCCGATAAGTATGACCTTTTAAAGTTTCTATTTTTTTCATTGATGGGTACTTCCAAATATAGATATCATTTTTCCACCAGCCATGTGTAGAAACTATTTCATTCATAATTGATGACCAATGTAAATTGCAAACCTACAAATATAGAACATGAAAAAATAAAATGGTATTTTAAATAATGATGATTCATATAAAAATAATAGTTACTAATTATTAATTGATTTGCCATGCCTGAGATTTTGAATCACGTCTCCCTAAGCATTTTCCATTTAAAGTATTCCAAATACAAATCTTTCTATCAAAGTGACCACCACCACTAACCAATAAATTACTTTCATGTGGGCTCCATGATAAAGCTCGAATTGCAGCAGTGTGACCACGAAGACTGTAAATTGGGTTATGTTTTCTATTCTCCCAAATAAAGAGTTCATTAAGATTGCTACCACTTGCTAATTGGTTTCCTTCAATATTCCATTCTAATCCACAAATCTATTAAAATCAGCATAATAAAAATTAAAATTAAAAAATATGGCAATATTTTACTAATAATAAATACTTCAGAGGCATGCCCTGGAAATATTTGAACATAATCTTGTTGACATCTTATGTCTTTATGCATAATAAATTTATCCCCACTTCCTGACGTAATTATATTATTATTCCATGAAAGAGTGCCTAAGCATAAGTCCTTAATTAATTAGTGTTGTGTTGTTCAACAAAAAAAATTTTTTTTTTGACATTACCAACTCGTTTCATATGTCCATTCATGTCATGAATTTTCGTGAGTGTTTTTAAATCCCAAATTTGTACCCTTCCATTTAATGTACCCACTGCAAGGTTCATATTCTAAAAATAATAATTAATTGATTAGTGTAAAAAGGATTCTATATTAATTCCATGTATATTTTTTGAAGATCACTCTCTTCTTGATATTTACCATCTTTGACCATTTGACAGACGTAACTGTAGACTCTATGTTTAATGTTTGTAATTGCATCAACTAATTAATTGTTTAAAAAGATACATGCTAAACATATTATATTATATCTTAAACTTTAACATATATTTATCAAGCATATGGAAATAAAAACTTTACCCGTTTTGCGCCACAATTCCAAAGATGAACCATCGAATCTAAACCAAATCCTAGCACGTCAAAAGTAGACCAGTCAAGAACATTCAAGTAAAAATCGTCCTTTAAAATAAAGCAAACAAACAATTATCATTATTATTATTCAGATTTGTTAATAAACAAAAAAATCTTTTTTAATTATTTACTTTAATAGGAACACTATTATGAAAATTCCATGCTTGATATGGTTTAGAATCAATATGTCTGTATGCTTTCTTTTTGACAGTTAACAAATCTTCAACATCATAAGAGAATGGCGTGGTAGCATAAACATCATTATGAACATCATAAGTGAAAGAAGAAGGTAAATTTTTATTTGTTGAAAGTTGATATTTGTAGAATTGATTATTATTATTGATAGTTAGGGTAGCCTTATTATTATTAAAATTGCTATCATTGTTGCTATTATCGTTATAATTTTTGATGTTATTGTCAGTTATTGTGATTTCGTTAATTCGTTTATAAATTTCTTCATCAATCGATTTAGTTGGAAATATGACTTTTTCAAGTAAAGTTTTACGAAGATGTTCCGCGTCTGTTGAAAAAGGAAAAAAACAAAAGATAATTAATATCATGTCTTCATAGAAATCATAAACATTACATTATAAATTCTTATATATGTGCGAAAACGATGTGAAACCTTCTTCATCGGAATCGATTACTATTCTTTTACGTTTTAATTGAAATTTTTTGTTAATCAAGGAGACCTTTTGTTTTTGAAATTCTGAAATCATATTGTTATTTCTAACTGGAATATATCTGAAGATAACATTTTATATTCATTATTAGCAAAAAAATCAATAATTTAAATATTTGAAAATTGTCGACGCGTATTACTTACCTGTCTTGATATATTAATTTCTTTGGATCTTTGTTTCTCTGTTAAATCTTTAGGCATAGAGTTATAATATTAAAAAAAAAAATGAAATTGTTTAATTTAAAGGAGTGTAATAAGTATAATAGTATATAATTGGATTTAAAGGATGTATATTTTTTTAATTTATTAAATTAAAGAATGTTTGTTTTATTTTTTAATTTTATAACACGAAAGAAATTATGCTCGTCAATTGATAAATGTGAAGATTTTTATCATGATGCAATATTGTGTAAAGTTACTTTTTAAATGTAGTTTGATTTTCTTTATAAGGT